GAAAAAGCATGAAATGGCGATTATATAGAGAAATGAGTACATGTTCAAGATTCAACTGATATATCCAAAATTGAAAATAAATGTTTATTTTATATTTTCAAACATAGGAGACCTTACTTTTGGAATTACTCTTTTATATAATTTATATAATTTTATATAATTGTAAATAGACAATTCGCAACCTGTTAAATGCAATTTTATGCCATAAGTACTGTCACGTATCCGGGGTTTTGGATTTGATGGTCGATGTACTCCCACATACGCCTTCAATAAAGTAAAAGTAAAGCTACCCCTGTAACAGGCCGTGGAGGCCCATAGGGTTGTGAGACGTTGAGGTTCCCACATTTTCTAGACAATCGGCTCAAAGATGGCGGTGAAGTTGTCAGCCTTACGTGCCGGCCGCGCTTTACTTCCCAGGAAAATTCCTAGTACTCATTTCTGTTAGAGGCTGATTCTACTCCATGGCCATAATGCGGCTGGAAGGATTAGGTAAATTGGAAAAAAAAGAAGAAAAAATCCAATGGCGTCATCGGGACTTGAACCCGCGACCTTCCGTCTTGTAGCATAGTGCCTCAACCAACTACGCTAAAACATGCCCCCTATATGCCTTCAATTCTTCGTCTGTTTTTTTTTATTATGCCCTCTTATAACTCTCAGCCAGTGCATATTTATTGGTCTGTTACTTAGATGTTCTATTGTAGAGAATGTATGCTTCGGAAATATGTTTACCGAGCCGTTGCCCAGCAACTGGCATATGCGTCACAGTACGAGTGGATTTGCCTATTACAGTGCTTTATGTAACAAACATTAGGAATTCATATGGATGATTTGCTCCGTAAACATACGCTTCACGCAACAAAATCTGCAGCATATTAACTTTTTTTAACAAGTAAATTTCACTTCTCTTGTACGGGTATACCCGTGATACGTTAACTTCTGGGCAGAGCCTGTGTTCGCCGTGCTGCCGTAGGTTCGTAACAACTTCCCCTCCATATATGGTCTCAACCGATTAGTAGCACTGACTCGAGTAGGGTTAATTATATTCTCCATAAGACATAACTGGCATCTAGATGAACCGGTTGATATGATCTTATTTTTTCACACTCCTCTTGAATAAGGCTTTATTTATAACGCTTGATGGTCACACTGTGTTAAATATGTAGGTCTCATGACAGATCTAGTGGATTGTATGTACAGGGCATTCTCTTTGCCGTCCGAATCATGCCTCTTTAGATTGTCTCTTTTTGTGTTTTATGAATTACCTTACTACACCGCCAATAGCGAGCCTACGACAGATGAAGGCCACGCCATAACTCAGTTGGTTAGTGTTCGGCTTCCAACCGCAACGGGCCGCGTTCGAGTCCGCGTCTGGTCATATGGTATTTTGGTGGACAAAGTGGCGCTGGGGCGGGTTTTCTCCGAGTACTGAGGTTTTCCCTGGCAATCTTCATTCTACCAATTGCTCCACAATCACTCTCACCTATCATCTGGGGCTCGTACAATAGGCCAGAAGTGGCCGCAGTACAAGGGACCCAGTCTCACCCCACTAAGAATAATAAATAATAATGACATGTGAATGATGAAGTGAGAAGAATTTGAGAAGATGCCGGCTAGCATTTGTCTGGAGAGACTGAGGAAGACAGCGACAAACTTCATTCAGAATAGCCGGTATCCCGGCGCAGATTCGAACCAAGCATTTGCAGATAACGACACAAAAGCATTATTGCTTCGGTGTGTGACTGTCGCAGGGAATTTAAGGAATGACGCCAGTATTCTTGTCTCATTTCCCCAGTGGTAGCCAGTTTTCTGGGATTACGTGACTACTAAGACGGGTTTTGGATTTGATGATCGAATTTATTGGACCTTTATACAGCTGGTTACAACAGTTCACAAATCACTATCTGACACATTGTCATCTTCCGACAGGACAATCCAATGAAACTATTTTTACTTCCAACTGAACTGTCAATTATTGGTGGCTTCTCGTTATATAGCATCGGGTCGGACCACAGCACAGAAAACTACCGTTGCGTAGCAGTGGATGTCCTCTATTGTTGCGTGTTCGCTGGAACATGCTTACTGAGTTGTTGCTTACCAATGGGTATATGCGAACCCATATAGAAAACACGTCTTGCAACACCTGTTCTCCTGCTGCGTGCGTGTATTGCCGGCGTTGCCTAGAAATGGGTCTACTCTATTGTTGGTTGTATGTTTGTTGCGGGCTTCTGTACCGAGATATTCCCTAATAATAGATCTACATGTCACAATATTAAAACATTTGTTGTAACACGCTAAGATATATCTATCTATCTATCTATCTATCTATCTATCTATCTGTCTATCTATGTATCTGTGTCTCTGCAGCCATTTGTTGGGCCTTGGCCGCTTTTTCAGTTTCTTGATCTCGGCGAGGAACCGGGCTCGGATTAATTTCACCACACATGTATGAGCGTGGCGACTCACACACGGACAAGTCTGGCTCATTGGAACCCGAGTCCAGTCGGACTCGCGAGCCAGACTCGTACGTGTATGGGCCCCCTTACTCAGTCGGTAGGACTCCATGGACGGAGGATCAGTCCCTCGCAAGGCCTCTATCTGCACACATAACCACACAAACATAGAAAAAACGCATACAGACATCCGTGCCTTGAGTCGGATTCGAACCCACTGTCCGAGCGTTCTAGCGAGGAAAGACAGTTCATACCTTAGACCGCGCGGCCACTGGGATGGGCTGTGCTATAATCTCGCTCCCCATATGTGTCCGCCGGAATAAGTGGTCACAAAGACGCTGATAGAAGTAGTGACAAACTGCAAGCAGAATGTTACGAGACGCAAGGACGCGACGCCAACTCAGAACCCGGTCTTCTGCATCGGACACAAGTCACTGAAGCCGAAGGACACAACTCACATTATCTTCTGTATATAGTAGTTATCTGAATAAATTTGTTATAATTAACACATTATTTAAATTAAGGAATTACAGAATCACATCTCAAAACAACGACTTTAATTAAAATCTGGACATGTATATTTTAATTGGCTGTTTTAGAACTCTTTAAAGGCTCTTTTCTTTTCCCCCTTGGCACTACAGCCCCAGTGGGCCTAGGCCTACCTCCATCAACTTCTCCGTTCACTTCGGTTTTTCTAGATCTTACACATTCGGTAGGACTCCTTGGGCGGGTGATCAGCTCGTCGCAAGGCCTCTACCTGTACACAGATACAGAAAAACGCACACACACAATCTAAACATCCATGCCCTGGGTGGGATCCGAACCCACGATATCGGTTTCCAAGCGAGCGAAGGCAGTACATGCCTTAGACAGCTCGGCTACCGTGACCTGCCTTTAAAGGCTCTTAATCATTTATATTTGTTTTCGGTGTTCTGTGTTCATTCAAATATGTCTCGTTCAGCTCCAAGTTGTGTGTGATACGAGTCGCTATATTTACTGCCATCTTGCCACATATATGTCTAGAAAAAGCGGTATCATAAATCTTACGTTGTGATGATGCTGATGGTCCTGTTATGGTGTATGTAATTACTGTAGATTAGGTTACACTGTTGCATTCTGGTTCATATGGTTTCCCGTACTTCATGAGTGAAACGGGCAATGTCCTTGACCAAACGGTCTGTTGGTGTGGTCAGGCGAAGTTCGACGTAAGGTATAGGTACAGCTATCCTTGTAATAGGCCGTGAAGGTCCGTATTGTTGTTAGAAGTCGAGGCTCCCACATTTTCTGTAGACAATAGGCTCACAGATGGCGTTGAGGTTGTCAGCCTTACGCGCCGGCCACCCATTACCCCCAGGAAAGTTCCTGGTACTCATTTCTGTTAGAGACTGAGTCGGCCCCAAGGCCGTATTGCGGCTGGAAGGATTAGGTCAAGTGAAAAATCCAATGATCTCATCGGGAATGGAACCTACAAACTTCCGGTTTGTAACATAGTGCCTCAAGCAACTGTGCTACTGCATGACCCCTACAAGAGTAAGGTACTGTGACCTTGCAGACGGGCACTGCACGGTAGTTTTTGATTTTTTCCAATTCGCTTAGTTGGGGGTGGAGTCCAACTGGGTCCACTCGGCACAGCGGCCACTGATTGGCCTATTGTAGCCTGCTCCGGGTGATTATGATGTTGGAGAATTTGGTGGAATGAATATTGGCAGGGGAAACCGAAGTACTCGGAGAAAACCCGCCCCAGCACCACTTTGTCCACCACAAATCCCACTTGACCAGACCCCCGAGATCGAACCCGGGCCACCGCGGTGGGAAGCCAGCGACTAACCGCTTGAGCTATGGAGCGGCCTATTGGACTGCACGATAAGAAGGAGCTCTAGTCTCGCGAAGGTGCACTACGCACATGATCAAATACAGTTTGTAGTAATGTACTGTTGGATTTTCTGTCGCGAAGACGCCAGTGCCCTGCAGAGAAGGGAAGTAAGGAACTGCATCTTCTGTTGCAGAACGAGAAGGTTGAGGTGAAGCAGAAGTGGGCATCTCGGCTGCTGGGCAAACTCAGGAAGGACATAACACAGGAGTGCAGAGAAGACTTCGTCCTCAGCATTACGGGCAAGAAGCCGGCTATGTGTGTTTTGTCCAACCCCGACCAGAAGGGCAAAATGAGGCGGATTGATTGCCTTCGCCAAGCCGACAAGGTAAGTAGATTCCAAAGGGTTCTGACAGTCGTGTATAACACTCAGATTAGTGGGTTTTTGGACTTTGTCTGTCGTCCGATGTTCTCACTCACTCACTCATGGAGCTGAGCCCTTCTGGATGAGCTGCCAATTGTGCAGCTATTCACGAGCTTCCCAGCATTTTATGGAATCCAAAGGTTCATTACCGTGTTCACAAGAGCCCTCCACTGGTTCCGATCCTGAGCCATATCAGTCCAATCCATACCATCCCACCATGTCTCTCTAAGATCCATTTTAATATTGTCCATCCACATACGCCTTGGTCTTCCCAGTGGTCTCTTTCCTTCTGGCTTTCCTACCCATATCCTATACGCATTCCGTTTCTCCCCATTCATGCTACATGACCTGTTCACCTCATCCTCCTCGATTTGATCATTCTAATCATACTTGGAGAAGAGTAGAAGTTATGAAGCTCCTCGTTATGCAGTTTCCTCCAACCTCCTGTCACTTCACCTCTCTTTGGTCCAAATATTCTCAACACCCTGTTCTCAAACACTTTAAGTCTATGTTCCTCCCTTAATGTCATAGACCAAGTTTCACACCCATACAGAACCACATGCAAAATTATAGTTTTGTATATTCTAATTTTTAAGTTTTTGGACAGCGGACGAGAAGACAAAAGGTTCTGGACTGAATGGTAGCAAGAATTACCCGAGTTCAATCGCCTCTTAATTTCCTCCTGAATCAGGTTTTGATTTGTTATCGTCGTTCCCAAATATCTGAACTGTGCCACATTTTCAAAACATCTTTTACCTATCTTTATGTCATGATTTTGCCCTGAATTTTGGTGACGAGACCGCAACATATACTTAGTTTTCTCCAGTATTCCAGAAACTATAAACGCAATGTTTCGGAAACTGGATCTGTTTCCATCCTCAGATGAGAGGTTGAGACACCTTCTCTCGGTGACTGAGGTTAGCTCTTTCTATTGGACGCAACCGAGAAATTGTCTCCCCCCCTCACCTGAGGACGGAAACTGAACCAGTTTCCGAAACTTTTTGTTTTATAGTTTCTAGAATACCGGACGACAGAAAAGTCCAAAAACCCAGTCATTCTAAGGCAGGTGTGGTTTCCGCTGATGGCCATAATATATGTGTCATTTGGTGACGCGGAGTTCGGGAGCATTGGCTCTTCCCCCACTTAAGGTTATTGTATTTATAAATACAATATTATATTGTCGCGTGTTGCCTATGTAACGCGACAAATAAATTCACGCAGGTCTCGGATTTGACCATTCTCTTCTACACTTACAAGTGCAATTATTATTACATTCAGTATCAGAATTACTGCTTCTGATACAGTCAAATCCAAACTGAAGACTGACTACTTGTGAACTCCGTTTAACTCAGCTGTAAACTGTCTGGTCAAGTCAAAATCAGAGTCACATTGCGACTGACGGTCAGTCAGTCCGTAAGTCTTGGTGCCGAGCACCATCTGGGGCTCATGACAAGATATTTATTACTGTTTGAGAGTTACGGAATTGTTTTTGTGGGGCGCCCTCTCTGAAGAGAGGACGGGTCTGTCTTTTGTATATGCTGCTGGCCCTTGCCAGAGCAGTCTTTCTCTGATCTGAATCCCTTGGGACTCTCGAAACTGTCTGGTCCAAGTAGAGAGAGAGAGAGAGAGAAGAAGAAGTGGTGGTCGTAGTGAGAGACACTACATTGGGGGCGGGGGGGGAAGAAACTATATCTCAGATTTTGAAGGTTCCCAGGCAGTGCCCGCTTGTCCTTCTGGTAAAGATAGAGCATATAATCTGATTTTTGTTTGTTTGTTTTTGCTAACGTTGGGAGGGCTATATTAAGGCGAAATTTTGATGTTAACAATGGGAGGGCTGCATGTGAGGCATGCAGTGCAACGTGGAATTGGGTACCAACTCAGCATTTGCTCTAGTACCGAGGAAAACCACGGAAAACCTTGGTCGAGCTGGCCGGTCTCAGGACCTTCCGGATACACACTGACTTCTAGCCAGCAGTCCGGCTTCCTTCGAAGCTGGACTTTTATAACCTGGTCTCGGACGGAATAGCGCGCTACATGTAGGAGCCTTTGGTCTCGGCCGCTTTCATGCAACGAACCCTCTGTTGTCCCTTCATCTCCGCGGAAACGCGTTTGTTGCTTAAGGTATTCCTGGGCAACGGCCCACTGTTATTGCGTTTCCATGGATTCACAGCACGCAACAGTATTAAGAGAAGTTGCATCGAACAGGTTGATATAGCGGTAACTTTTTAAACTTGTATTCGGGAGATGCACACTTCGAATCTCTTCCTGGACGGTGGTTCTCCTGTCTGAGTTTTTGTTGTTTCACCCTGTCCCACAAGGCAAATCCCGGGACTGCATGTCAGATATGCCTCTACCCCGTCATCATTTCCATGACTTCTTTGATCATGCCGGGAAGGCGGTTACGGATATTGGCTGAAACAGATTTTCTCCACATCTTCTCAGGACCGTCTGGTGGCCAGAACAGTTTCCATCACCAGTTTTCTTTAAGAACACACTCGCTCACTGTTGGCTAGCATCCCGCTCTCTTGTACATCCAATCACGGCTTCGCATCGGACACACTGCCCAATGGGAGAGCTATAGAACTGCCAACCCCCAAGCTATTTCTCCCTGAAGATGGCAACTGTAGGATTTGTTGAAACATTCGACGCGGCCTAGTTCCAAAAGCCGAAGCCACAAAGGCTTTATTTAATCACTCAGTCCAGCATGTGCTACACAGCTTCCAGAATATTCATCCCCTTCAACAGAGATTGTTGTGGTTTGTGCGGCGTGTATAGAAAAGCCACTGCAGTGATATTTCGCTGAACTTTATGCGAGTGGGGAAGTGACCTTATAGATCCAGGGATGTAGACAGGGGACCTGCAGGTTCATTCGACCGCATGGCACCAAGAATTCCTCTCCCCTCGTTTAAACAACACCACAAATTGCTGTATTGTTTATTGGTAAGTAATGGATCTTATCCTTTCTATAACAAGTTCACCAAGTGGACAAATAAATTCAAGGAGATTTGATGTCGAGCTCTTTATGAAATTGGCGTTAATTTCCGTGTAGTGAGTTTTGTGTTGTCCGAATGTAAACTGCTAGAATTCCTCAGTGTGTTGCAATATTTTGCCTTAAGTTTGAAGTAACATGACGTGGGACGGCCGCGCCATAGCTCAAGCGGTTAGTCGCTGGCTTCCCACCGCGGTGGCCCGGGTTCGATCCCAGGTCTGGTCAAGTGGGATTTGTGGTGGACAAGGAGGCGCTGGGTCGGGTTTTCTCCGAGTACTTCGGTGTCCTCTGCCAATCTTCATAGCACAAAATTCTCCATCATCATAATCACCCGGGGCAGGCTACAATAAGCCAAACAGTGGCCGCCGTGCAGAGTGGACCCAGTTGGACTCCACCCCCCACTAAGCGAATTAAAAAAAAAAACATGACGTGGGAGAACGATTTAAAACTGGTTGGTTTGTTACGGTTCGTGGAGGGTTTAAAGGTATTGTTACGTATGAGGGGTTTCATTCATTCATCAGTAATCTGTCAGACGACAGGTCCACAGTCTCTTCCAGAACAGTTCTTCCACTTAATGCGATCTAGAGCTTTCTCCTTCAAATGAGAATATCCTCTTCTGTCCCCAAGGTCATCCAGCATCTTACGTCTTCTTCCTCGTCTTCTGGTTCGAATACATTACAATTAATCATGACAGCTCACAATCAGTGACTAAGACTCGCTCCAATCCTTACTGGACTACGAATGTCTTGTCTTCCACTGTGACTGACGTGGATCGCTAAGCTTTCTCATGTTCTTGCTGCTCTAGTTTAATATATATAGCTTCGGCTTTAGGGAATATGCCCCATAGAATGTTGAAGTATCAATGATTACGCATTTCTCATAATCACTTTGGTATCCACGTAGTCGCTTCCTATTTCTTAGCATTCAGCTCTGTTGTTTCTCCCAGTCACGGTTTTACCTGTGACTCAGCCCGCTGCCAGGCCACATAATAATTTCCAAACCCCATCATGCAGTTTGCTCCTGTGTGAGGGCGCGTTCGAGTACTTCCACCGTAGCCCTGTGAGTCGTAGAGAACACAGTGCCTGGGGGTATAAGCGGGCCACCCTATTCCTGAGGGATACAATTATATGGACCTGGCCCTCCAGGTTTGGGTGAGTCTTGAATCTGAGACAGTGGAATGTGGTCGTGGGTCGATCGGCACTCGGACCTGAGAACGACTGCGAGGACCAGCAGCAATTGTAAACAACAGACATGTACTCTCGTCAGAGAGGATGTTACATAAGGACTATAACCGCAAGTGTTCAGTTAGAAAGTACAATTACTGGTCGTGAGTCTCAAGGGGATTGTCTCCAAGACTAACTGATTGACGGTAAACAGCCAGTCGTAAAGTAACTATGACTCTGACTCATACAATTTGCAGCAAGCAGAAGCCATTCAAAATCACGAAATGCAAATATTGGCAATATTGGTACAAGGCGAATCCCAATACCGAAAATACAAGAGGCTCGAACTTGGTGGCGGTCAAGGCTACGACCGTTCAGGTGACAAAACTGCCTCTGTAGCGCAAGATACTCAAAATAAGGCGAAATCTGCTGTTTAGAGCCGGGACTGACAGAGGACTTGTATATTGTGACAGCTGACAAGGGACAAACCTATCTTCTAGTCAGAGAAGACGCGTAACAACGGCAGAACCGTAACTGGCTGCTCCAAGACTGAAATCTGGTCGTGATCCTCTAATGCGGCTCGACACCAAGACAAATTGAGTGAACTAACTTTGACTTTGAATTTTATACAATTTAACTCTGAAGCAAGTCAATGAAAGGCATATGTCATTTCCGTCCAAGAACTTGACATGCGTTACTTACTTACTAATGAAGATGGCCGCGCCATAGCTCAAGCGGTTAGTCGCTGGCTTCCCACCGTGGCGGCCTGGGTTCGATCCCGGGTCTGGTCAAGTGGGATTTGTGGTGGAAAAGTTGCGCTGGGGCAGGTTTTCTCCGAGTACTTCGGTTTCTCCTGCCAATCTTCATTCCACCAATCGCTCCACAATCACCCTCACCTATCATCTGGGGCTGGTACAATAGGCCAGAAGTGGCCGCAGTACAAGGAACTCAGTCCCACCCCACTAGCAGTAAAAAAATACTAATGAAGCTGAGCCCTTCTTCAGGAGCCGCCAATTCTGCAGCTACTCAAGAATGTCCCAGTATTTTATGGAACCCGAAGGTTCATTACCGTGTTCACAAGAGCCCTCCACTGGTCCCTATCCTGATCCAGATCAATCCAATCCATACCATTTTATCCTATCTCTCTAAGATCCATTTTAGTATTGTCCACCCACCTACGTCTTGGTCTTCCCAGTGGTCTCTTTCCACCTTGCTTTCCCACCAATATCCTATATGCATTCCTCGTCTCCCCCATTCGTGTTGCATGCCCTGCCCACCTTATCCTCCTGACTTGATCATTCTAATTATACTTGGAGAAGAGTACAAGTTATGAAGCTCCTCATTATGCAGTGTTCTCCAACCAGGCATTGAAATCTCCTGACGAAATTTTCATAGGGTACTTCGGGAATTTATCAAATACATGTTCTAGTTCTTCATAGAACCTATTCTTTATGTCATCAATTTTATCTTCTGTTGGGGCGTGAACATTCATAACAATGATATCACACCAGCGACCTTTTAGTATTAAATGTGATATCCTATCACTGACTAACTCTACTCTCATAACTGCTGATACAATTATCTTATGTACGAAAAAATCTGAACGTAATTCATGATTTTCATTCCCCTTGCATAGAGAAATGTATATTCGCCTGCTGGTTCGACATGTATTACATGGGATAAAGAGAGCATGGTGGTGCAGGGTAGAAGATGGCGCTTTCCACCTACTAGACTACACTTGCATTACCAACAACAGCGCAATATCAACCTTAACTGCCTTGAAAACCTCCGTTATTAATCTGTTTTAGAATTACTGGGTGTTTGGCCTTTGTTCATCGTCCGGTATTCTAGAGAAGAGAAAACACAACGTTTCGGAAACTGCATCTGTTTCCATCCTTCGAGGGGGGGGGGGCTGGAGATATATACTCTTTTGGGTCCCTTAGAAAGAGCTAACCTCAGTCACTGACAGCAGGTGTCTCCCCCTCACCTGAGGAAGGAAACAGATCAAGTTTCCGAAACGTTGTGTTCAATAGTTTCTAGAATACCGGACGATGGGCAAAGTCCAAAAACCCATTGATTCTGAGTATTATACACCATCATCAGAACATTTTAGAATATGGAAGCATAAGGCTTATTTTGGACTCTATCCATCGTCTGGTATATATAAGACAAAAAACCACAACGTTTCGGAGACTGGATCTGTCTCCGTCCTCAGGTGGATGGGGCAAGATAGACCTACTCAGTTGGGCCCGTTAGAAAGAGCTAGTCTCAATCACTGGACCTTGTGGTTTTTTTGTCTTATATATTCCAGACGATGGATAGAATCCAAAATAAGGCTAATGGTTCTGTACAGCATACAGCATCGTCAGAATCCTTTAAAGTCTATTGTAGAATGTACTTCTTAACCTTATGGATATTAACAAAAACTTGAATTAACGCTGGAAACCATCAGAATGGTATGCTACGTCGAATCATATAAGAATATACCCGAAAAATGAACCCTGTTAACATCAATAAAAATGTAGCTGTGGAAATTTCAGGTTGGAAGTGCTGTATTACTATATACCTTCATTATAAATATTGTACACTTTATAAATCTTGATATATGGTGTTCTTTTTTATATTTTATCTTTTATCTTATATTGTACCTTCTACTTTAATTGTAACACCAACTTGAGGCAAATTTTATCCGTTATTATATTATATGACACGTTGCACTGGTATGGATCCATATTGGTATTTCAGTAACTGTACGTATTCCTATATATAACTGCCTGATGATGGTCTTGTACGATCGAAACATGTAGCAGGAATAAAGATCGAATTGTAAAACATTAAAAGTTGTTGTGCTGACGGTTAACCTAATTCCTATATATATATATTGCACATTACGTTGCACTGTTTATCCACTAGTTGAGTGTTGCTATAAAAAAATTCCATGGACTGTAGTCCGTAAGCGAACTATACCGACCGGTCTAGAAAATCGAGATTAACGGCCGTGGGGATCCGTTGCGTTGATCACGCGACACCCTCTATCCGCTAAAGTTGACACTAACTTCGCTGACAAGCTGCGATCGCTCGGTCGGTATAGAGTGTTGCTATATGATTTGTTATATTTCCTGAGTACAACAAGAAAGCTAATATATTTGAAGGACTTACTGGCCACTTCCATCACGGTACGCTAGTGGGATTTCTTGACGAAACGTCAGATTCCAGATTTAGTTGGGAATGTCATGTAACCAGTAAACAGACGTTCCACATCGGGAATATGGGGCTGCGGATTCAAAAGCATTCGCTTTGTTCACACAGTATTTGGGATTTCAGGTATGGCGCCTCGACCTGGTGATGGTCATCTTATTCAAAGCAATACCCCTCGAGAGTACAGACGGGGAGCGCCTTGAAAAATCCCCGGAGTGTGCTCATCCTGGCCTCTGCGTTAACCCGTACCACATCAATGTATCCGTCCGCGAGCTCGACCTCTACCTGGCGAACTTCATCAACAGTCATGGTGAGTGGAATGAATTGTCTCGCCCCAAGACAGCTGCGCTTGTCGCTCCTTTTGAGTTCACTTTAGTCCACTTTTCCAGAAGAAAATACCCCCTCAATTGTGACGGTTGAGGTTAGTATTCACTGTAGAGTTCCTTGTTTCGACATTGAAAGAGGAGACAGTAGGTTCTCCGAAACGTTAAGGAGACATTTTCTCTCTGATGCTGTCTGAAGCCTATCTACGACCATTTTCTTCTTTAAGAATATCACCTGTAAGCTATTCATTTGTCCCGTGAATACTATTGAAGCCCCTTCGTAGATCCGCAAGTCATACCTGTTAGTAGCGGGTCTCTTGTTTAGCTGATGTTCCATGCCGACGTTTTCCAATATTGTAACTTACTATTTTTTGTATTGCTAGTGGGGTGGGACTAAGTCCCTTGTACTGCGGCCACTTCTGGCCTATTGTACCAGCCCCAGATGATAGGTGAGGGTGATTGTGGAGCAATTGGTGGAATGAAGATTGGCAGGGGAAAC